CAGCAGAAGGCCCTGCCCCCCCCCCCCCCCTGCATTTCGGAGGAAACTTCAGTTTAGAGAAAATATTTACAGTATTTCAGGAAAAAGCAAGTACAGCATTTTTTAAAGAAGAATTCCAGGGAAATGTTTTATTAACCCTTGCAGTGGGACTACCCCTGCACTGCAAGGGTTAACTGCTCATTTTTGGCTAGAGGCTAAAAAAAAAAGTTATACTTACCAAAACTGCCAAGTCACCCCCTTCTTCTCCGGTCGCTGAATTGTGTCTCTTAATTCGCTGCACAGATGGAATGTTCCTCAGCATTCTCACGTCTATACACAGTGCATAGGATGTGATGACACAAGGATTCTTAGACCGCTGGGACATTGGGGGAGACAGGCTCTGGGGACCGGTCTAAGAACAAGCAGGCTCAAATGATCGGGTGAGCCGATCATTTTTTTAGCACCTAGATGCAAACGTGCATTTACAATAACCCTTGCAGCACAAGGTTAGCCCCACAGCAAGGGTTAATAAGGCTAAGTTCACGTTTCTGACCATGTTTTGTGTTACATCCATAATTAGGGGGTAACATAAACATGGTCACATATATCACAACCCCCTTCCTCCCCCTTTCACTTACCAGAATCGCGGGGTTCTTCTCCCTGCAGGTTGCTCCTCTTTTTTGAAAATGTGCAGCTATGCGTGGCTCCACCTACACAGCCACATTACTTATTCACAGATCCTTTGACAGGATCTGTGAATGGAGAAGCTACAATTTCCATCAGCCACCACGGCAGAGGGACTTGTAGGTCAAAATGGACTACAAGTGCGGTGAGTGCAAGCACTGAATGTCTTTACCTCAGTATGGACAGAGACGGGAGGGAGAATCTGCAGGAGCCAGAGCATTGCACCCACGATTCACTGATCGCCATTGCAATGCTTTATTGGCTTCAATGCAAAAAAAATTATTAATTCATTTTTTTTTTTAATTAATATGTGTGCATTTATTTATTTAAAAAGGTGGACTTTACCTTTTAATTATTTTTTAAAGTTATGCTATCTAAAGAAGGGTAACACATATAAAATGGTTATTATCCCAATTTAGCTGCTAAGGTGAAAATACACTTTAAGTCTGGGATGTACCAGCTCCATCAGCAAACAGTAATTTGTCCTGAATGGGCAAAGTGACCGTGTCTTTTTAAGCCTGTTTTTGACCGGTCCTATTTACTTTGGTCCCTTTTGCTGGCCAGCTGGTTTTCAGGCTGCGAGTCTTTGAGCAGGCCAATCATGCAGAAAGACTGCCACATAAAGAAATATTTTCACACAGTATGATTGATTTCATTGCAGTTGTTCAGCAATCTTTTATTCCAGGGCTGGAAAGATAGCAGCAGAGAGTCTCTTGAGACCGGCATCTCAAAGGAGATTCAGCAGCTTTGAAAAATTTACCTAATTCCCAGTTGCTACTTGGTGACGGAGAAAGATAAGCTAAAGCCTTTAGGGAATATCAAGGAATTGCCTGACATGCACTCGAGGGGCCTGGTTTCCGAAAAGCTTAGGTTTGCTGTATGAGAGCTCGATGGGCCGCAATGCTGCAAAAAGCGTCCTTCAGTAGAATACTTAGAGTAGTATTCAAAACTTAAACTTGTTTTCAGTAATGAATCCAGATCCACCAAATATACATTGTCCAGAAAAGTATTTGTTTACATTTTTGCCCAAACACTTACAGTCATCCTGTTCTTGAATAGCTTCAACTCTCTCAGCTCAGCTTTCCTGAACTTCTTGTCCAGTACAAGATCACATGGGACAGAGCAGTCTCTGGTAGCTGTCCATCTACTAGCTTGCAGCAGGGATGAGATGAAGCAGGAGCAGGAGAATGGTTTGCCTTTATGTGTGTTTGTGGAGACACACAACTTACTAGCACACAGAAGGGTGGCTCCATAGACCTCTGCAAAGGAAAGGAGACACCCTAAAACAAGATACCAGGGCCAGTGCTCAGGGGACCAGCTGATTCTGTATGAAATGTCTAAACACCAAGGAGCAGCATCCATTGTCAGTGGTTCAATCAGCATTTAAAAAGCTTAAAGGATAATTCCACTTTCCCAGGTGAATTTGGGAAAATTGAATTACGCCCTCCAATCTGGCTCTCCCAACCCCCCACCCCCGCTATATTTACCTTTGGCCGATTGCCTTTGGCACTTCAGCAGGAAGAGGGTGCAAAAAAGTCAGGATCTGCAACCTATACTGCAGAGGTAGTTCACTGATCAGCACATAGTCAGTAGCAGACTCCCTGTCCCTCAGTTGTAGAGAAACAACCCACTAACTGCAAGCAGCGCACCACATCATGGACATTTCTATATGTCTATGGCCAGCCTAAGTGCAATAATCACTTGATCTGGATCTATGGATTCTAGCATAGCCCTCTAAACATCAATGGCTGGCAGTTAGACAGGAAGACAACACAAGAGGTATGCTTGCTCAGGAAACCCAGTCTACAGCTACCAGCCTGGCTCCTGATCCTACTGCAAATACAAGAAAATTAAAAAAACATGGGTAAAAAGACAATGTAATGGGTATTGGTGGCAGGAGTGGACGCTTGTAGGGAAATATATATGTGCTGGGAACTTGCACTAGATGGGGGTGCACTTTGGTCTTTTCACCTTTGGTGTTACAAGACCTTGTCCAAGGACTGATGGGTGTCTCAAGAAAGGTGAAATCTAGCCAGTGTGGTTACAGACCCAAAAATAAACCTAAATTAAATTTCAAACTCCAATCTATCCAAAACAAAAAAAAAATGGGCTGGAGTTAAAATGACTTATTATGCCTTACTCTGTACTTGCCTGGCCATGCTCCCAGCTGGGTATGTTTATTTTTCTTAAGTTCCACGGCAAAGTCAATATATGTATAAAATAATTGTAAAGAATGTCACCAGCCCTCGGTAGATCCTTATAGAACCACCAATCACCAAATGTTCATTTTATTGAACAATTTGTAAAATGGAAACAAGCGCTTTTGGGACCTCGCAGGGTCCCTTCAACAGGCTTTGTCGATGTCAAAGCCTGATGAAGGGACCCTGCGAGGTCCATTTGGTGATGAACCCTGCGATGAACCCTGCAATGAACATTTGGTGATTCTATAAGGAACTTCGGAGTGCTAGTGATATTCTTTACAATTGTTCTATGCACACAGTGGTGCCATCCGCAGTCATTTCAAGCACCCTCCCCATTATCTGGGATTTCCGGTAAGGAGTGCAACAAGAACCTTGACATTTCATTAGTCAATATATGTAGACACATCCTTACAGAGCTTACTATGCTTGAGTCTGTTATAAAGCTCACTCTATTGCTGTGCAGTGAGACATACTTAAAAAGAAGGGTGATAAGACTACACAGAGTGCAGAGTTGACTCATTAGGGAGGGTCACACATTCTTGCTCTCTCCTAAGAGTGTTGGGACTGTCCAGCTTCAGCTAGCCATACATGTCTCGAACTAGCGAAAATCAATTAATTTTCCCTGGGTTGATTGAAAGAAAATCAATTGATTCCCATTCAAGATTAAAGTATTCAGAAACTGTCTGAATACAGTGGTGCTGCTGAACAGTGACGTCTGATAGGCCGATTATTTTCCACCTGGCTCAGTCGATTTTTGACTTTTGTCAAGCCAGTTGGTGCTGACAGGGCCACCCACAGCTCGAATGTTGGCCGATTTTTCAGGAATCAGCTGAACTGAAACCATCTATGGTCAGCCTTGATTTTGTTGTAGACCTGTATGAATCCATCTCAGTTGGCTACCCAGGACACATAAAAACTGTAGTTTAGACTTAGGCGTATGATTTGTGTCTCATTTTATTGCCAATTTGCTTCATATTTGTCCCCCAATGTGTAGTAAACAAAACCTGTGTAGCGCTATCCTTATAAATGTGATAGTTTTTATTGATGTATAACACTTGTCCTCAACTGTTTCTTTAGAAAGGAGATAAAAGACCTGGGACTGATGGTTTTAATGGACGCCAGGAAGCACCCTCCATCTCCCTGCCTCCATGCAGCTCTGCAGTGTAGCCAGGTGAGCCCAATGTAACACATCGAGTACAAGCTTAAAGGGAACGTTTTGTCTTTTCAAAGCCTTCTTTAGATAAAAATGTTTAAAAAATCAGATTGATGTAATAACATCTTTTAGGTTTAAGTGCTATCATTGCCTCTGTTGAGTTCCCTTCATTTTCTGTGATACTCAACATCTGTCACCTAGATAGGAAGGGATGAAAATTTTTAACTAACTAGCACAAACAGCAATAATAATACTTTAGTTGGCTACTCGAAAAATGTTTTTATTGTTGTCTGTTGCCTTCTGTTCCTGAGAAGGAGTCTCCCAGATGGAGCGGATAGCAATTAAAGCCTGACAGGAGTTCTAACCCTTCTCCACACTATCCAAAACTAAAAACAAACGTTTTGTCGGGTGTTCGGCTTCAATGTTTTCAAAACCTTGTTTTTGTTGGTCTGCTGGTCAACCTTTCTCAGCCAGGTTTTCATGGAACCCTAGAGTTCCTCAGCTAATGGTTCCTTCAGCAATGAGCAACTTCCACCTCTTGGATATGTAACCACTGACTCCAATTATCTCTTTAGCTATCTGTAAGAAGAATTCTGCCCACTGGGCATCAGTGTAAAGGGGCCCTTCTCCTGATGACCACCAATCTAAGGGGGCCCTTCTCTTGATGACCACCAATATAGTTACATAGTATTTGAGCTTGAAAAAAGGCCACAAAACACAGGTCCATCATGTTCAAACTTTGTGTGTCTGTGTGTGTGAGTTGTGTGTGCGTGTGTATATGAGTCCCTGTGTGGTCTAGTATTTAAGAGTACCTGTACCCCTGTATATTACAGACTCTTAGGATGGTATGTAATTGATTTTTGAATGAATCAATACTCTCAGCTGATACCTCTGCTTGTTGCAGAGAGTTCCAAAATGTAACCACTCTGACTGAAAAGAAGCCCCTACGCCCCTTGTGGTTACATCTTTTCTACACCAATTTTAGGTGGTGGCCTCTAGTCCTTGTTAAGGATTTGACAGTAAAAAGTTTATCACCACTGAACATTTTGGGGGCCCTTTTCCGCTGCTCCTAATAAAAGGGGGAACAACACTGAAAACCAATGTGTGGGAACATTACATGTCTGTGTTTCTTTTCTGGGAATTATTATTATTATTTTATTATTATCATAATTATTATTTATAATTTCATGACAAATGGATTCATCAATTTTCTGTCCCTCCGTTAACAACCCCAATAAACACACAGACTGCGCGACAAGTCCCTCAGCCCTCGCAGCTCCTTCCCATGCGGCTCCTCCCAGACACCTGACTCCCACGTCCAATCAGGTAAGAGCAGCTCTTCCGATTTTATTGTTTAACCCTTTCTCCCGGGACTATTCCTCCCCCCAGTCATGTAGCCCCTCCGCTTAGTCTCTCCGTGTCTGTCTTTATTATTACTTAATATAATTAATTAGCAGGGGTTCCTTGGGGTACAGAATAATCACAGTGCCAGATTTAATAGAATGCTGTCAATCTAAGTGCTGGTGGGTGGAGAGGGGTTGTGGTTTACATAGGAGGCTTTCTGTGTCGCCTGTGTGTGTGCGGGCACACAGAGCTTCTTCACGTAAAGCAGTATTCCCGTCTGGAAGCATCCACATCAGGGTGGCTATGCTGAGGCTCCAGGTAGACTCTGCAAAGCAGGGTAGCCATCCTCCAAGCAAAAACATGCTGGCCATATTTATCTAGTTCTGCTTTTGCACAAAAGGAAGCATTGAGAAAGAAACCAGCTCAAATGGTCCCTACATTATTGCTCTTTCACTCCCTGCTTTGTAATTAAAGGAGAACTATGAGGTGGGTGCTTTTCACTCACCTCATAGTTCTAGCCGACCTGTGACAATGAGACTGTCACAGGTCGGCTCAGAAGATCGGGAGGTGAGCGAACACATACCGGCGTTCGCTCACCTCTCGATCCTGTCACGGCTCTCTGCCGTGACAGAGGAGGGGCTGGATTCCCCCCTCCCCGCTCCGCCAGCGCTGACTGGCGGAACGGACGAGGGAGGGGGCGGGTACAGCTGGCTCTGCCTTTAGATGTCAGTCACGCAGCTGGGCGCATCCCGGCACAATTGTCGGGATCCGCTTCAGCTGCGGCGTCTCAGTATACCGCAAGCAGCTTCTCGCAGTATACTGCGGCGTCTCAGTATACCGCGAGCTACAGTTCGCGGTATACTGAGCCTAGGGTGACGGGCTTCCTCCTGACAAACCTGCACCCAATTTGAAATCTTCTGTGCTACAAGATAGAGACTCTCATAGTTTAGAGTTAGGACGGCACTGTGCGGCTTTCACATTTTCTGCAGAAGACGTGTATCCAAACCTCTGTTATTAACCTTAGTGGTGAGACAAGTTTTTTTACATGCTGGCTTGTGAGTGTGCTATGATACCTTTCTACTGTTTTAGGGTGACGGGAGGATGCTAGTTTGTGTCCTCCCGTTACCCTAAGGAGAACTATGGGGAAAAGCCTTAACTCAATAGTTCTCTTTTAAATAAAATAGTGGTGACCGCTAAACCTCCTTCCTGGTCCTTTCCTCTGTAAGGTGCGGGCAGAGCTTTCCATGCAGGAATGAAGTAAAGGGTGACGTTGCTTCCAACAGCGGCAAACAGCGGCAAAAAAGAGAGAAATGGGCAAATGAACGCTAGATGAAAATTTGGGGCCCAGAGTTGAATACATACTGTAGTGGCGAGCCTGCTTATGCACACTAAAGGAAAAGTCATGTGCTCAGAGTCTTGAATATCTAATAAAGTGGCGCAGCTTCTGACTGCTGACAACTCAAAGGGGGGGTTAGCCATTTGAATATGAACTGAGTAGTGTTGTTGGCCTGTCTCCAGAAACAAGGGAAGACGGGATGTCAAGTTCATTTATTGGCATTAACTTGCGATGATAAAAATGAGCATAAGAGGAATGTAAAATGATTATGGAAACCCTGGAGAGACACTTTAAAGTTTTATAGCTTATGAACTTAGCAACACGTTAAGGAGACAGTAATTGCTCTGAGCCAATGAGCCCTCTAGTGGCTAATTTACAAATCTCTATATGTAATATGATAAATAAAATAAGGAAAAGAAAGCAAGTATATAAAAAAATAAAGTGAGAAGCATATAAAAAAATAAAGTTAAACCCTGCGATCTTCATTCAAAATAGTTACTAACTGAAGATACATTATACTTTCTCTGAAAACAACATTATCTGCTCATCCTAGACATGTATTCATCTAAATGGCAATTTGTTCCTGCATGATTCACTCAAATAACCGCAATGTTTATGCCAAGACTTGCTAAGTGCTGTAATTACACAATAATATGGCATTAATTCTCTGCCGACTGGTCAGCAACAAGACACCGGAAACCCCCACATTTCTGGGCTCCCACATTGCATAATATTGAAATAGCTGCAATCGGTTAATATGTTTGCAATTCGGAGAGCCCTGCCCGCCCAAATATGACATTTGAGGATTAATTGTGTCATTAGGCAGCAGAGTTCCTTAAAGTTTATTAGGTTATTAGGCAGCAGAGTTTCTGAAAGTTTATTAGCAGATAATAAGTCAGACGGTTTACTAGAGCGGGACTGTTTTATAATGAGCTTAGACTGTTTGTTATACTGGGACGGAGAGTAAATCTAAATATAGAAATTAAAATATTTGTATTAAAGCTTCACCAATTCATTCCGTAGAAAGTGATAAATAAGCAGTAATTAATCATTCTCAGCAGCTTAGAGTTATGTGTATACTTAGAAAGAACACTTTTGGAAAAATAATTTAAAGAGGTATATGAAAAAAAAAATGTAGAGACATTTGTTCTGAAAAACTGCATGTACATTTGTTCTGTGCGAATGCGCAAAAATTAATGTTGTAATTAATTTATAAGGTTTGAGTGAAACAGGAAAATTCCGCTTTATGGCCACTAGGTGGACCCAAGGATTATAGGAAATACATACTTATTGCCTACGATCCTCAGCTCCATCTTGTGGCCATAATGTGGCATTTGAATGGCAGGTGAATTACATTCAACCTGCAAAAAAAATATACTAATAGCATTTCGATTATACAGGAGAATACAAATAGATTGATTAATTTATGTCCAGCTTAAAATTAGCAGTTTTGGATAGAATGTGGAAGAATTAGAACCTCCAATTTAGTTTTTGCTATTTGTGACCATATAGTGGAGATTTCCCTACACTTCCTGTCCTGCAGACACAAGAGAAAATGAAAGGAAATCTTCCCAAAGTAAAGAAAAAAACCACATCTTTGATAATTGACATAGGAATGGAATCTTTGATAGATTTCCTCTCTACTTCTGTTCCAGTGACAACTCAAACATATTAGATTTCACTAGTGACTTTTGTCACCTGGACAGAAAGTGAAAGTAAGTGTCACAAACAGGAACACTAACAACAATAAAATTCTGACAATGGTCATAACCCTTCCTCATTCTCCATGATGGCTTGTTCAAACCAGATCCGGACCAGAGTGTTTTTTGTCCGCACCTGAAATGCATCCCAATGTATTCCTATGGAATTTTTGGGCTCTGTTCACACCAATGCAGTCAGTTCCAGTGCAGGGGGAAAAAATGCTGCATTCCCTATTATTTCTGGTCTGGAACACACCAAATCGCATGTAAACGCATCAAGATGGCATGAAAATGCACTGAACCGCACCTGAAAGCCCATTCAAGCTTAAAAACACGTCAAAATGCACTACACTGCATATGGAGAAACGCATCCAGATCTGGCCTGAACAAGCCCTAAAACTAGAAAGGAGGAGCATTGGGTGGAGGTTCCCTTTAAGTGTAGTGCTTTTTTAAAACAAACGAATCACGCAGGAGTTCTGGGTGTTATCAGGAAAGGAAGTGAGGGTGAAATCTCCCCTGATATCACATCCAAGATGGCGGTGCCCAGCAGCAGTCTCAGGGCTTTTGGATATCTACACAAGGGAGGCTTTTATATCATGCATAAAAAATAAATAACATGTATGAAATATGTTAGATGTACATATAATCCTATGGGAAGATTTTTGTTAAAATAATTGGTGTGGCTACAGGGTCTCTTTAAGAATGGGAGTGATAGTGATAAAATCTGCATTTATGTTGATCTTTGTGTCCTCCAGGCTTCCTCTCCTGGCTCTATCCAAAGCATTGTGATGCTTGTAGAAAAGGAGACATCTCCTCAGATGGAGAGAATCCCTGGGCTGCAGGTGAGCATCAGGCTACCTCATTGTGATCTGATCACTAACCTTCCCTGTAACCTCAACCTTAACACTAATCCGCCTGGTAACTTCAACCTTACCTAATCCTCCCTGTAACCTCAAATGTCACACTAACCTTCCTTGTAACCCTAGCACTAACCTTCCCTGTAGACTCAACCCTAACAATCACCCTCCCTGTAACATTAATTCTCAAAATGACCCTCCTTGAACCCCAATATCAACCTTCCTTGTAATCTCAGCCCTAACACTAATCTTCGGTAACCTCAACTCTCACACTATCTCTCCTTGTAACCCTAACACTAACCTTCCATGTAAGCTCAACCCTAACACATTCTCCATCTGACCTAAACTCTCACACTATCCCTTTTTGTAACCCTGACACCAACCTTTCTTGTAACCCTAACTCTAACACCAATCCTCCCTGTAACCTCAACTATCATACTAAACCTGCTTGTAACCCTAACACGAACCTTCCATGTAAACTCAGCCCTAACACTAATCCTCTCTGTAACCTCAACTTTCATACTCATCCTCCTTGTAACCCTAACACTAACTGCAACCCTAACACTAATCTTCTCTGTAACCTGAACTCTCACATTAAGCCTCCTTCAACCCCAACCCCAACATCAACCTTTCTTGTAAGTTCAACCCTAACACTAATTCTTTTTGTAACCTCAATTCTCACACTAACCCTTCTTGTAACTCTAAAACCAACCTTCCTTGTAACCTCAACCCTAACAAAAACCTAACCCTCCTTGTAACCCTAATACTAACCTTCAATGTAACCTCAAACCTAACATCAATCCTTCCTATACCCTCAATTTTCACACTAACCTTACTTGTAACCCTAACACCAACCTTTCTTGTAACCTCAACCCTAACACTAATCCTCTATATAACCTCTACTCTAACACTAACCCTCCTTGTAACCCTAATACTAACCTTCAATGTAACCTCAAACCTAACATCAATCCTTCCTATACCCTCAATTTTCACACTAACCTTACTTGTAACCCTAACACCAACCTTTCTTGTAACCTCAACCCTAACACTAATCCGGCCTGTAACCTAAAATTTCACACTACCCTCCTGTATCCCTAGCACTAACCTTCTCGGTAACCTCTGGACTCTATGTTCCAATGCGTGCATTATATTGTAAAGGTATGATCAGGACCTTACTGTAAGGAAAACATGTGGACATTTTATGTGATGATGGTTATTATTAGCTTTTCATTATCTTAACTTTTTACCAGGAAATTAGACTTTAATCCAGCAGCTAATTGATATTCCCGCTCCTCTGTGTACAGGTGGAAGTCCTGACATCACTGAAATCATTGGGCCGTTCAGTGGACATTGGACAGCTCACCTGGGACCTCGGAGGCACATACCCTTACTGTCACAGCGAGTGGGTCCAATTTTATCAGGTGCCATTGCCTGCTAACAAGATGTAAAATATAACTAAACGATCCATGGATTGGTGTGCCTGTTACCGCATCTAATATCACACCTGGTCTGCATGCTTAATGCTTGTCTGCCACTGATTTATGATGGAAACACACCAATGAGTAACACCGCAGAGCCATCAATGTTCGGCTGCATCTACTTTGAGCAGTTTAGGAACCATCTTGTTCCATTAGAAAGACAGATGTCAGCACTAAGTGTACATCGCACTGGATTTACATGGCCGGCAACATGTGTTGCTGGTCTTCATTAGTCTCTCTGGTAAAAGTTGGGAAAGACATAAACATATGTCTTCTGTGCTGCAGGCTGTTCATCTGCCACTATTTCAGGTATTTGTTCAAAAATACTTTGTTAAAGGAAACCTGTCATGAGAGAAATACAGGCAGGCACCGTTGGCGTTCTTCTGAAAATGGTTGTTGCCTGGCTGTCATGCTAATCCTATGACTTTGATATTTCCATGTCACTTGCTGGAACAAGTGTGCACATGAGACCACTGGATGCATGCTTATTCCAAATGAATGACTCCAAAAGTATTAAAGCTGTGGGGTTGTCATGACAGCCAGAGATAAAGCATTGCCATACTATAGCAGTCCACTCTCATGGAAGGTTTCATTTAAATATCTATTTACATTAAAGCTGAACCTAAGTTGAAACCCAGCATGTGGCAGTGCATGTGGCATGTGCCAGACCAAAGCATACAGTGGGCATTCTTACAGTATAGTATTTAGTAAATATACATCTGTGCCCTGTTATGGAGCTTCACTTCTCTCATTGTATCCTCTAAAACACTGGTTCTCAACCTGTGTAACCTCAGGACCCACATTTGTCCTCGGTCATTAAGTCGCACTACAATGGAATGCATGGCAGTGTGGGCCTGTAGAGGTGGCGGGAGCCAGAATGTGATGTCACTCCAGTTCAGGCACCTCTACAGGACATACAAGGGAGCTATAAGCAATGCACATATGGATGGAACTCCCTCACGGCCATACCCCCAGCCCACCCCACCTCATGTCAAAGCTCGGCGCCGGGCTGCTCAGTGTGAGAACGGGCAGTGCTGTGCTAGAAAGGGGGCTGGGGGGAGGCTAAGTAGCCTCTCACCTAGAAAAGTGGAAGGCATGCAGCGTCCCACTTTTGGGTCAGGACCTGCCAGTTGAGAACCAAGGCTCTAAAATGTAAAATGAATAAAACATCCATCAAAGCAAATATTACACCCCCACCCTATAATGACACTGGCAAGGGAGCATGTGTTGAGTAAAATCAGTAGGCTGCTATAGTTCTGTGTCGGTGATCCAGAACAAGTATGCAGATCAGACATTCTAACTTCACAGGCTGCCTACTAGTTTCAGGTCAGTGACTTAGAAATGACAGAATTTAAGCCAGAGACAGCCAGGCTACTAGAATTTTAAGCAATGGTGTCATCCATATTTCTGTCTACATGAGTTTCCTTTAAAAGGGCTAGTGGTTGCTAAATAATTAAACAAAAACAAAAAGTTCAACCTGCTCTTACTTCCTTTACAGCGCCCTTAAACCTCCATTGTCCTGCTACTCTTGTTTTGGGTTAGGGTGACCAAGAACCATGTTGTGGTTTTTGCATTGCCAACATAGGTCATGGCCTAAGGCTGCCAGGGACGGCACATAGCCACCCACACCTTATGTCCCTATGCCGCTGTTAGGCTATATTATATAGTATAAGGTTCCAGAGTGGTGCCCAGACTACCAGAGCAATCCAGCTGGGTGCTCATTGTTGCTGGTCCTGTGTTTTTGTGGAAGGAATAGATTATTGTGTACACACAGTTCACCCACTTTGGGTTTGTACATCTAGAGCCAATTTGGAAGCAGGCTCTAAAAAACAACAGGCAGAGAGATATCTGCTTTTCTTTGAACAAGTCACCTGAGTGTTGCAAACCACAATGATGCTCCCTACTAAGACTAGCAAGCTGGCTGTCGTAGGAGGGATGTGGCACAGGACAGGTGGCCTAGGGGGACAGGAAGTATAAAACTGGGCCTTCCAAAAGCAACAGGCAGAGAGATATCCACCTATTCTTGAACAATTCAGCGACCATTCAATGCAACCCGCCGTGATGCTCCCCACATTGGCAGGCATACTATTTGAATATTTATACTCTGTAGCAGAGAGAGGGATCCCCTTTAATACCTCACCTATGTAACCAGTTTTCACCCAATATTCACAAAGGGTGCTCCAAACTGAGAACAATGCTTGTAATTATTGGTCCAAATGTACACAGTATTATAAAATGTTTGAGTTTTTCCTGCAGTCTGTGCTTCTTCAGGTACAAGTATATTGCTGATAATTAGGAATACAAGAGGAAGCTGACATTTACAGGATGCTAACGGTTGTTGTGTGCCTGCAGCACCAGGTAAACACCAACTGGGAGTTCACAGATATGTCATGATAGCTTCTTGATTATAACTGATTAAAGCGATAACTTGTTTCAAATGAGTTTTATTTGACTTTGGCAATTAACACTTCCTTTTGGTATTCGCTATAGGGAAGTAATTTACAATCCTTCAGAATCAATATGTACTGAGAAGTGTTTGTTCAGCTTTCAGTATGTGTTGTAGAGGACCTTCAGGGAAGAATTCAACTGTTCCAGGCTTAAGTTTTTTCCACTGTTTGTATAGGGGAAGTTGCCCAAAAGTGTAATGCCCTTCTTGCTTGAAATCCTGCTGTACTTATGTTTTTTTCTGTCTTCCATCTTGATAGGGGATCTATGCCTGTCCCCTTATTTTTGGGCTATACGATGCCCACAGTACAGCGTCTTCTTCCCTAGCACTGGTGTTATGAACACAACCCTTGTAGTCCAAGGGGTGATGTCTTGATGCTGCTTTCGCTGCTGTTTGTTGAACCTTTATATTGTCTGGCTCCTCATCTTGGGATCTCTCACTGAAGATCTCTTCCCACAGACAGACCTCAGTAGAGGAGAAATGATCCCTGCAGTGGTCACATGATCGCACTTAACGCAACTAATAAAGCTATTTTTTTGGGTTCCGGCCAAAAAAAAAAAAATAGAGCAGTCACAAGGAGGAATTGTGGGGTAAATACATTTAAATCCTGAAGATGGGCTTTAAAGTGTATCTACATCCAAAAATAATAAATGAATTGTTAGAATACACTTTACTGTGTTTATAGCAATAACTCCTGCAGTATACAATTTTGATCACTAGATGGCAGTGTTTATAAGTTCTGTTTTATATGTATGGTATTATACTCTGATGTATTGAATAAGGTAGAGAATAAAGCTGTGTCTTCCTTCCTGTTTTAGCCAACCCATGTACAGCATGCATATTAGACTGTGTGCTTGTGTTTCTCTGTGAGGCTGTGCAAGAAGTTCCAACATGAATACATTGTGGTATACCAGTCTTTAGATGTGGTGGATGCATTTGTTTTCTTTTTCCAAGCTTATTGAATTTATTTTCATCTGGTAATGTTGCCAATAATATACTTCTTGTTCAAGGGTGACAACACTCACTCATCCTTTTGCATCAGGACAATGGAAGTAATATAGAACTCCAGACCCCCGTCCTCTTCTATTGTCCATAACATAAAGGGGAATCGTTCTTTGGTCCTCAAAGTACATTGTAATTGATAACAGTCAGTACAGGCCAAGGAAGTTATCAGCTCACAAGATTTCCATCAAGATCAATAGATTTTTTTTTTAAAGATCAAACAGATATAACAAAATGCTTTTAATGGTGTATTTAACAACACTAAAAGGGGCCAAACAGGAGAAGTTCACTCTTAGGGTTTACATATACCTTAAGGCAATAAATGGTAGAGAGGCGGCATGTACAAAGTCTAACCTCAGCTTTGAAATTAGGAATGCTGAGACAGCCTGTCTATCATTCTGTAAATATCAGTTGTCTGACTTTCATGTTGACCCTGTTTAATATATTATCTGGTCATTAACTGAAACAAGTATACAGATAAGAAATGCTGACCTTTCTCTGGCTTCCAGGTGCTGAGATTCACAAAGTATGGAAAACAGCATAGTTTCAGTTTAACATCAAGTAGCCATGTGCAGATATGACTATGTGGCTATCAATTCATTTAGCTTTTAGAGGCCCTAATGAATGGAGACCATCTGAGACACATTGGATTTTTTACTGAATATAACTTTTAATGAGTATCAGTTATGGACTCCAAACAACTAGTTGGGTGCATTCCTCCTTACATGTTTAGTTGATCTGGGATACGGGCCGACCCACAGCTGTTGCCCCCTGGAGAGCCACCTAAGGAGAACCTCCCTTATGCTAGACCTAGTATTTCACTGGGATACCTGCCTGAACAAAGTTATTCAGGATCCCACACCTTTTCCTTCACTCTTAGGTTGTAATTGCTAGTCCATATTGAGGAGATTTCCCCTTACATCCTGTCTGGACAGGAAGTGATGTTAATCACTTCAGGACCATAGGGCGTATCTGCACGTTGTCGTCTTGAAATGGTTATATCAAGATCATGGTTGTGAGCCATGACCTTGGTGTAGTTTGTTTCACAGCAGGTGGAGGGCTGTAGATGCCTCCTGATCATTTGTACCGGCCTTAGAAGGTGCCCCTCCCTTCATACCCCCACTGTGCTTTCTGGGCTCTCCTGTTCCTCTGGGGTGCCCAGGACCATGACAAATGCATTCAGAGATACATAAAAAACAAAATCATATTTTTAATAAATTGTAGAATGGTTAGAGACTTTCTGACAATGTTTTATTGTTGTCTTTGGTTTCTTCTTCTTCCATTACATTCACTCTGTCCATTTTTCTTGGCCTGGTATCACAGGGAAAGAAAATGAGGGAAAATCTCCCCTAGCTGTCATGGGGAGAAGTAAAATCCTGCCTGAGATGCTAACTCTTCCTCAATTTGTTTAGAACTAAAAACAATGGCAGGAATTGGGCTTCACGTTCCTTACTCTTCTCATGTATTACCGTTGCTCCTCTTTACATGTAGGCTCATAGCTCTTTTTGTTTTTCTCTGGTTCAGAAGCTGGATGCTTTCCTGGCAGACCTGCGAAAGGCCTCCGACTTACTACAACATGCCATTCAGGAGCTGGGTGAAGGCAGCACTCCGCAGGACTCCAAGGTATGCATTGTGAACCCCTGAGGAATATGCAGCAGAAAAGTGGAAGCTAACCTGACCTAAAATATAAACTCTTGATATTCCCGCAGGAAGCAGAAGAAAAGATGAACCAATATCGGGAGCTGATGAAGGTGGTCCTGAGTGACTCACGCCTAGTAACGTTACAGCGGGAAGGAGGGACCACCCTGGCCAGACTGCGCAAGGAAGCAACTCGCTTCTGCTGCTCAAAGGATGTCAGGTGTGCTTTTATTATTTGTTATTTCTGATTCTCTTTCACTGTGTTTCCATTTAAAAGTTAACATCCAAATCAACTATAAAACATTCAAGATTATTAGCAGACTTTATCACAAATCCTGTCCTGCTTTTGTTCTGTAGTCACTGAGATGGGGAGTGCCAGTGAAACTGAATAAGTGAATGCTAAGTGGGAGGACCTATCTCATACTATCACATGCCCAGTCCCAGTGCTGTAAAAAAAAACACTTCACCGCCCTTTAAATCTTTTAGATGTGCAGCGTTTTTCTAAAGTATCTCAGTAAAGGTAAAACTCTTAGATCCACAGGGGTGGTGGATGAGGAGATTGTCCAGCATAGTGTTTCACCGTCAGTGCAGCCATCCCTACTGTTGCTTGACCCAAATGTTGCATGCAGCAACACCAGCATGGGGAAGAGTTAACATTACTGGCTGGCTTTAATTTGTGCCTGGGACCCCTTTGTTGAGACAGCAACATTATCAGGAATTCTAACACTTCTCCATTTTAATAAAAACGTGCTTCTCTTTTAGTTTTTGCTCCTATTGGAGGGATTTTAGGACACAGAGTGAGGGGAAATCTCTCCAATGGGCATAGAGATGGCAATAAAGACTCTTACACTAACCCACACTATCCAAAACTACATAAACATTTTGGCTGGAGTTGGGCTTTAGGCTGATTGATTATTTATGACTCTTAATATTTCATATAAAATGGCCTCTGTGCTCAGGGCCAGGCCGTCCCGTGGGCAGGAGAGGGACCCGCCTTGGGTGCTGTGGTGGAGAGGATGCAGTTGGGGTAGAAGACTCCTCTGCCTCTGCTCTCTGACTGTCTCCTGCACTCTGCAAGACCGATCTATAAAAATCAGCCCTTCTTACTATTTACTCTGGGAGATTTATAAATGAATGAAGAGCAGGGCTGAGCAGTCACATTAACAACTCAGCACGGTAGATTACACTGAGAGATTGGCTGCACGTTATCCAAAGCTGCTCATAAACAGAGTGCACAGGACAGCCTCACAAAGACAGCACAAAGACAGCAGAGCCCCGGCGATTACACTGGAAGAGCCAATCTTCCAGTGTAATCTGTAGTTCTGAGTTATCAGTGTGACTGCTCAGTGCTGCTCTTCATTCATTTATGAATGAAAGCTACAGCTGTAGCCATTATTCATAAATTAGCGTTCTGTGTGATTTATAAACCTATTAAAATAATTACAACTTTAACCCCTTGTTAACCCTAACTACTTTAAAAAATACTTATTAAAAAAGCAAAAAAATTAAGCTGAGGGGAGATGGTAATGAGGGGGTTGATATGCCCTCAATACCTTCTTTGTTCAGTTTTATTTATTAATTAATTTTTATTGATCATTTGTAAATTTGAACAAATTGCATTGGTTTGAATGGAAGCACTGCATTAAAATGCTTTGTGCCAAAAATATAATTTTCGTGCCTTTATAAAAGGGACAGACCATACAAAAAAGTTCACTTTGGATGAGTTATAAAACATCTTAGTTCCCAGATGGAAAAACTGTTTGGTTTTCAGTATGATAATGAAATTCTAGTTCTATTTGCCCATGCTTATTATGACTGAGTCCCAACTATTTAACCACGTCGCAGCACCCCCTTTCCCAATCTCATTTGGTTTCCCATTGACCTAAACATAGTAATCTTACTTGTCATTTCTGTGCTGGCCCAGCCAGTCTACACATGGACGTGCAAGCTTCATTCATCTCAGCTTCTTGGGATTTGGGAATATCCTAATATTTATATAATATCCTAATATTTGCATAGGAAGGGAATCATCTTTGATTAATGTGGAATTGCCTTTTAAAGCTCGTCTTCAGACCGATATTAAAAACCCAATCAATGTGGTTTTGTATTTCTTAAAAGGTTATTAAGGCTAGATTCACACCTAATCGCGTGGATTGAGTCGCACGATATTGCGCAAAACACAGATTCGCATTGAAGTTAATGGAGGCTGTTCACACCTTTGCGGTTTGTCGTGTGAACGAAGTCGCCTGTCGCGCAAAAAGGTACAGGAGCTATTTTCGGGCAAAAGGAAAATGCGCGACAACAATGCAAAAAACGCTCACCAGCTCAGTTGCCTAGGTGTGAACCTAGCCTGAATGTATTTGTAATTACAGATTGCGTAAGTATCAACATTTGTTTTGATATCAGCAGTAATTCACATGAGGAGAGGGAGGCGCAACACTAGGAGCCAATCAGGATCTGATGCAGTGCACATACATGGACAGGGAACATGATAAGGGAAGAGAGCAGAGTGAGCAGAGGGTGGCCTGATCAGTGTGCTTCTTCTCTGTCATTATCTAATCTGCAGGTGGAGTGTTTTGACCAAGCTGTGCTGCTGGACATATTTATATATAGACCAGGAACATGATAGGGGGAGAGAGAAAAGTGAGCAGAGGGTGGCCTGGTCAGTTAAGGGGTAATGTATTTGGCATCCTCGACTTGGGTGGTACAGGACCTTGTCTTGGCACGGTCTGAGTATATTATAATTGCTTGAACTCAGCGCTCCTATTTGAATGGCATCTACTGTAGATAAAAGCTACCTAAATAAGATCAAAATCAGAAAATGCTGCTGGATGTATAATATTAATAAAAATATAAAATATATAAACAAACCAAATGAGTGATATGCACCTCTAGGGTTATTCACTAAAGGGTGTAGAGTTTGTAGAAGGCAGGAGAAGTGAACAATCTAGGAGAACGGCTGAACTGGAAAGTGAGCTGCATTGGAGAATTCTTCCAGTTCAGCTATGTTGTCCTAGACTGTTCACTTCTCCCACCTTCTCCAAACTCTTCACCCTTTTGTGAATAGACCTGTTAGAAGTTAAAAAACAAATCCTCCATGCACTTCCACTATAACAATTTGTGGTCACTAGGTGTCAGTGTAACACTGCTGTGGTGGTGGTGAGCTCTGACTTGTATTACAAGCTGTGCTGACCTCATTGGGGAGTGATAGGTGTTAAATAGTGCTCATTACATGTTCTCTGGGCATTCAGCCTTTGTCAGCAGCCAGCCTTTTAGCACACAGCCTTTCCTGCCACTGACTCCAAGCACCGGGTCAGTGGCCTGGAAAATCGCACTGTGAAGAATACAGTTTTGTAAATGCTGACCGGTGCATCAAAGTGATGCAACCTTTAACTCCAGCACAAGAAAACAGAATATAATTATGTACAAATAATTAAAGTGCAAGACCATGCAAATCCTTAAGGCATACTGTGGAGGCGGGGAATGCAGTGAGTGTCATGTCCAGTTTTGGCCCCCCTCTGTGCCCATGCTTGTCTTATCTGCCGCTTGAAAGTCTCACTTGAAACAAGACCAGTGGCCTGAGCCTCCATCCTCCTCTTCCAGCTGTCAGCTCTGCAGAAGTCTATATCAAAATCAGTAAAACCTTCAGAGATGTACAAAGATTTGTCTTTTTATGCAGCTTTTTTATGTAACCAAAAATTCCCGAAATTGATCTCAGATTCAAGAAATTATTCTCTACTCTTGTGGTCACCGACATTTCCATAGGAATTCAATCATCTGTGAATAATTTGTACTTGATTTTTAAAGCTCGTCTCCAAAACAATGTTAAAAACCCAATCAATGTGGTTTTGTATACTTTAAAAAAATGATTACATGTATTTATCATTAGAAATAGTATAAGAATCAAGATTTGTTTTTATATCAGCAAGAATTCACACAAGGAGAGGGAGGTGCAGCACTAGGAGCCAATCAGGATCTCATGCAGTGCACACATATGGACAGGGAACATGAAAGGAGAAGAAAGCAGAGAGTTGCCTGACCAGTCTGCCGTTACTACCCTGTTTCCCCGAAAATAAGACCTAGTACTATTTTTGGGAATTGCTAAAATATAAGGCCTACCCCGATAATAAGACCTAGTTGTGACAATTCCCAGGGCCCAGTGGTGGCATGAGGGGGAACTTGAAGAGCCACGTGAGAGGAAGGAGAGAATCAGCTGTGCCAACGAAGGTAGTCATTATGCAATCTGCAGGCAGGGAGTGTGTTTTGACCAAGCTGTGCCGCTTGATGGAAATTGAAGATCTGGCTTTTTTTGTCTGGCAGGGGTTCCTGGATCACCAAACAGAATGCACAGAATTAGAGATCATTTGGTAGTTGAAACTACATGCTGACATGCACATAGTTCAACTCTGTATTTAATCACGTGTCTGGAGTTCAGCTTTAGATTATTAGAACTATATAGCAATGTCTAGTCAGATTAAAGAGGAACTTTACCCTTATCTTTAAAATGACAACAAAGACACCTTTAGAAGTGTTCAGTAATGAACATCTCTAAACAGATACTTATAGATAATTGCAGTCTTTTTATTCTTTGCACAACTTACTTTCTTTTCTTCCCCATTCTTCTAACGGTGGCCATTTTTACTAAGGGCAGATTAATATATCTCCCTTTACTTCCTGGAACTCGGAGCACATGTGACTAGGACATGTGACCATTGAAGTTTACAGATAAGATTTCTGAGCAATGCCCTGCTGATGTAACCTTCCCAGGATGCATCACTTGGGCACATTACTGCCCAAGAGAACCAGAAAATGGAAAAACAGTAATTGTAAGTAAAAGAAAAATATGTTTATTTAACTAATGTAAGATGATTTCATATCAGCATGCAGAGCTCAATGCTGATGTGATTTTTAGTAGAAGGTGGTAACTATAACTGTAGCAGTAAACTGTTATGTGAAGGGTAGGTTTTTGCACATTAGGCACACTTACCTTACAAGTGTGCCCTTCTTCACCGCCTCCGGATTCATCATTGCTCCCCATTGTTCTGCCCTGCTGCCGCCATCTCTGCCACCACCACCACTTCTGGGTTCCATGGAAATCCTCTTCGGCCATTGAGTGGCCACTGATGATGTAATTCCTGTGGATGCAAACAGGAGTAATTGGTGTGCACAACGGGTGTGCCAGGTGTGCCTGCGCACACCCTAATCACCCCGAGCACAACACCGAAACTGCAACAGCGGGTGCCATGTTTTTAGTCACTAAGCCAGTGGAGAGATCACAAAGATCTCTCTGTGACCGGCTCAGTGAAACAGAGCGCAGCAGCACTTGCCACTTACATTCCTCCAACAGAGGTCCCTGTTGCCTGGGACTCTGCGAGGGAGCATGGCTGTGGCTTCCTATCCAATCAGGAAGCCAGGCAGGTGGTCACATATCTTTCCCAGCACCCAGTCTATCCACGGCATCTTAGAGATGCCATGAATGGGCTGAGTGTATACATTGTACAGTGCATGTGCCTTATAGTGTACACAAATAATACAAAAATTGCTGCGGGAGAACTTTTTGGCAGAAGAGACTTTGCATGTCAATTCCGCTAAAAATCCCTACCTCCCAGCAACTTTTTTTAACTCAACTTCCACTTTAACAAGTAAATTTGTGCAAAGAGAGAGAGATAATGAATTCGGATGAACTTCATGCAGATATAAAAATCATTAGTTAGGTATTCATTTACAACCATTAAATCTATTTTACATGTAACAAATGTAAGTGCTCGCTATCCTCCTGTAATACCTTGTACAGGGAGCACTAGGAGAGGGAGGGGCAGCACTAAAAGCCAATCAGGATCTGCTGCTTTGCACAAGTGCTGATCACATTTTGCAACTACAGTACAAAAAGAGAACTTAAACCACACTAAATAAGAAGTTCCTTTAGTTTCAGTCCTTTGAGTCCGTGCATTATTAGTTCAAACCCTGATAAGGGGGGAACTATTGTTGCTCCTGAAACGCGTGGACTTTTTTTCCTTTGTGATTATACAATTGAACTTTTTCACCTGTTTACTCTGGCACACATCACATATATGTTTGCACATGTGCTGACAGGGAAGATGCGGACAGGAGGTTAAAGTAGAAAGGGCAGAGTGATGATTTATAACTGTGCTTCTGTTCTTTTATTGTCATTTCTTCACTTCATAGGTCGATAGTGGAGGAAATTACACATTTGGTCTCACTTTCTTTTTCCTAGTTTTATTAATGCAGATCTTAAAGAAGACTTTATTAACCCTCACAGTTGGGCTACCCTTGCACTGCAAGGGTTAACTACTCATTTTGGTCTAGAGAGGAAAATAAAAATCTGCAGCGAAGGGGGAGTGAGGTTGGAAGGACCGTTCTAAGAGCAAGCTATCTCCGAGGATCAGGTGAGTATAACCAGGGCCGGATTTCCCACAAGGCCAACCAAGGCCCGGCCTTGGGGCAGCAGGGAGTAGAGGGGCAGCAGGGGTGTGGAATTCCTATCTCCCGATGCCCGGGCGGATAGTTGTTTGGGGAAGCAGAGCTAAATGTACAGCAGGGAAGTCACCGCTTGTTTAGTACAAGTGATCTCTGTGACATTGTATGCAGCCTGCAGGTCTGCCATTCTTCTTGGGGGGGGGGGGGGGGGGGGGGGGTGGGGGGGGGCGTGGCCGGCCGCTGGACTGAGTATAATTTTATTATTTTCCTCCCTAGACCAAAACGAGCAGCTAGTAGCCCCACTGCAAGGGTTAATAAAAGTTTTGCTTTAAACTTAATCACTATTGTGATGGCCATTTGTGAAAAGTTATAATAATATCATTCTTGTATCTTCATGTAGTTTGTGTTGGCGAGATATAAGCAACACTCCCCAGACATTTTTCAGATTTTAGCCCCTAGTATGTTTTTGCCTGTGCAAAACCTTATGCTTTAAAGTAGGGTTGCACAGATACCAAGTACAGTATTCGGTACAAGTACGAGTACATGTACCGATACTTTTGAGCTCCAAGACTAGACTAGAGAAAAATTAAAAAATTAGGAGGCAGCTGCCATTTGTAAGGAGCACACGGAGCTCCTGGGATTTGTACATCTCTGTTTTAATGTACGATTTTGTTTTTATAAATATAAATAAAGTGATGCACAGATACCAGTTTTGCGAGTACGAGTACTGGTACTTGCCGAGTACTTACAAGTACGAGTACTGATACATTTTTGTTTATTGTCATGTGACAGTTTTTCTAAAACAATACAGACTAATGATTTCAGGACAGTGGTGGAGCGCCAGAGCCAGGTCCCAGCTGCAACCCTGGTAGTTCTTATGAAAATGCCAAGTATCTGCACTGGTACTCGAAAAGTATCTGTGCATCCCTACTTTAAAGAGAGAGGTCTTATCTTCGAAGTGAATGGTTTGATAAAATTGCATTTAAAATTTGCTAATAAACAAATGAAATTTAATTGTAACATTTACAAACCAATAATCTTTTCACAAGGTGCATCAGTGTCTATGAAATGCCTTGCAGCTGTGCAGGTGTAAACCATTCTGAAAATATATCCATGTTATTAATGAAATATGATTAATGACCTTCATCTCACACTATCTGCATACGATGCATTTTTCCCACTCAACCAAATTAAAATATTGCTCTTTGTTGCACTCTCCCTTTTAGATCTATAATGCAAGTCTTTATAGTTATGGCCCTTCCCTTGATCCTCATAAAAGCATCAAACTGGCTTGTAAACCAATCATAAACCTACTCAGTGGGAGCTTTACTGCATATTGTACTGTTTAATGTTGATTGAGGCCTTGTACGAAGTCCAGTCTGTCCGCAAGTCTAATGAACTGTCATGGACTAGAATATAAGTGGGACTATTTATTGTCATTGTCACAGGAAACTTTGTACCACAGCGTTTGCCAATTCATACTTATACTAAGAGGGTTATTCACAGAAGAGCCGAAGGATCCAGCCGTAGCTATGGCCGATCCTTTGGCCGTCCGAAGGGCTGTTGTATGGGCTATTAAGGGCTATTCACGAAATGATCCCATGTCCACCCTGTCATGTAGTCCCTCCGCCTATATCTTTTCTGTCTTTTGCTCTGTGACTATCTGGAAACCTTGTATGTGCTTTAAGCCATGACTTGGAGCTTACACAGGAATGTTCATTATCTCAAAGCCCCTACGTGACATCTATGGGTACCTAAGCAGCCAATAACCAAACACTGATACCGCCATATGGGAGTCACATGCTTCCTATACCCAGAAGTACCCTGTATTTTTCTGCACCTGGTACTGCGAGGGAGTTAAGGCAAAGTATAAACTGCTGACAGGGCTGTCATTAAAGCAAAACTGTTGTATTAACCTGGATGGGCAAAGCATAGGTTCATTTGAAGGCAGAATTCCCAACAGACAAAAAGACATGGATTAATAAAGCACTATAGTCATTCATAAATTATTATATGTATTTTCTTAAATTACAGTACTGTAAGTACCAGAATTTTTGTTATGTAGCAGCCTATTGAAAATAGTATTATACAGCAGCACTTTGATGGGAAGAAGAGAGGGCAGCACTGGGAGCCAATCAGAAATGCTGCAACTCCTTACCTATCAAGTCAGTAGGCTGGTGGTGGGGAGATGGTACCACTGTATCTCTAAAGGGACACTGTTACAACAAAAAGATGTATCCAAAAAAATGAATATTCACCTATCCTAATGCCCATTCCTTAGACCTTTGCTCTCATGCAGAGATACGGCCTCTGGCAGAATTTTTGCACCTAACATTTGCGAAAGTGCTCCCCGGCCCCGCCATATACTGCAGGTCCATCCCTTGACCCTTAGGTCACTACTACTGTATGTGCTATAGTACTTAGGGACCAGCTGATGGATCCAGAGCATGTAGTGGGAGACCAGCCATTCAATGCTCCTGGAGGTCTGTTGGATGGGAAGATTCTGCTGGAGGCTGTAGCCCTGCAAGTGAAAAAAGATCTGAGGAACGGGCATAGGAAAAGGTGAGCATTAACAGTCTTTTTTTGCAGGATGCTATTTGAACACTTTGTTTGTTTTTTGGATAAAGTCACTTTAACTATAACAGTGCCACAGTTGCGTCATTCTCCTGGCTGTTCTGTATGATAGAGCTGTGTACATTTTAGGACTGGATGGACAGATATCTAAATCCTTTTGCAGGTAAAACAGCTCCCATATATGTATCTTCTGCAGGCACATAGGACAAGTGGAGGCATACCAGAGACCATGAAAGGTGGTCATAATTTGCATATCAGGTTGCTGGAGGTATCAAAAGTCCCAGTGTACTATACCGGAGAGCCTGATGTGCAGGGACATGGAATTGCCTGCTATGCATGTTGATTTCTAATTCTTTTTCTTTAGCCTACAGATCTGTTTTAATAACCTTACAGTATAGTCTCACAAATTTATATTCATTTTGAGATAGAGCAAAGCTAGTTTCAAACCTTTGCAGAAGCAGATCCTGAATCTGAAATGAGGCCTCCGTACTTACTGGGGTCTGTGATTGTGTTTGCACAGGATTTATCCAAACTTAGGACCTTGTCTAGTTCTGTTCCTCCAGAATTTTGCAACCTCCCTTCCCTTTCATGGCTCAAGTATCCATAGCAGCTGTGCAAGAAAGTGAGACCTTAAGGTTCAACTTTGGGCTTCCCCTTCCCACCCCAACCGTGCTCCTGGCCTCACCACCACCATTGTTTTTTGCTTTTTAACATTTTCATTAGCAGATGTGTTTGGGTTAGTCACGTTACACACAGTATCCTATTTGCTTCTTCTCCAGCTGTGAGGGATCATCAATGATGTAGAGAGCAGTGCTGACATAAAAACATCAGAGCTGCTCTCAGCATCATTGTACATAAGTAAAGGGTGTTGTAGTGACACCCTCCAAGGGTGGGAGGGTCTATGGTATCTTGCTTTCACAGGATGTGCTCAGTCTTCCATTGAATGGTGATTGAATAGTACTCATCAATCATCATTCAATTCAAAAGACTAAAAGTCTTGTGGCTAAAAGGAATTGCCATGGAGGACAATTCTGGAGAGGAGCTATGTATTGTAGCTAGAGATGCTTTATACTGTAGTTTTAAAAACCTGCTGGGCTATAAATGTGCCTGATTGTTCTCACATTCTTAGGAGTGCTGTGGAGTCAGCTGTGCAGATGTACAATCACCTGGAGGAACGAGTGCATGCCTTAGTGACCAAGTCCAACCGTAGGCTGGAGCTTCTGGAGTCACTGCTGAAGGTCAAAGAGCTGGAGGGACAGTTTGACCAGGTAAAGAAATCAGGAACAATAAATCAATCACGGGTATATTCTGGATCAAATCTGGGACATTGTGGATGGAGTACAAAGCCATGAGCACACAGGGATTTTCTTTGTTTTATTACCGCAATATAGTTTATTTTTATCTAAGCCTACAACTGTGAAGCAATGAGGAATTAGTATTTTATGACATGGAGATTGCCTGTCTCTTTTTTTATACAGAACACATGAAGCTGTGCAGTGAAAAAAGATCCTGCTAAGAGACCTTACCTTGACAATAATGGCCAAACAGACTTGAAGGCAACTTGAACTTCTGTGTGGCCTGCACTGTAGTATTTTGCTCACCCACCACCTTCAGTGGATACAAATCATAGGCTTAGCAAAGACATCTCTCTGCCCACCCACTACTTTCACAGGAGCCACCTCTTAGACCTTCATGGGAACTTTTCAAATTGCAGCCAAGGAATATTATAGTAAACTTACACTGGCCATCAATATTTGGTGCAGCAAAGATTTGAGGCGATTAACAACATTTGTGCACCTTTGACGCACTTCTAATTAGGCTTCTTGTCTGCATCCACAGCTCACCTCTTGGATGGATGGAGATGGAGACAATCAGCTGCGCGAGATGGACAATATGGAATGGTCTCTGGAAAGCTTAGAGAAATATCACAAAAAGTTTAAGGAGTTCTTCCTCCAAGCAACAGTGAGTATTAAGTATATCAGTGTTCCCTGACTTTGATTAATCAGATATCTTCATCACAAACAGGACAGGTGCTTGTGACAGCAATGACCAAGTGGCTCTTTCATGGTAGGGACAGATTTCTGAGGGCTGAAAAATGTACCATGCAAAGTGTTCCATGGTGCCACAGTTATTGGAGTTATTGGTAGGTGTTCTTAAAGGACAATTTTCTGTGACACACCTTTTCACATCTTCCAGCATTGGCTTCCTTTGTGGTTCTCGGCATTCAGTCACATATCAGAGCTGCAACGGAATCTAGTGCTGGAAGTCTTCCCTCTGCCTGTGATAGCAGGTCTGAAAAGGGAGCAGGTAGCATTTCAAAACCCAGGAAATGTCACTGACTGTGCATTGGGTATCATGTTCATGGTCGTCATCCAAGTACTGGCCCCGGGAAGGGGGGGGGGGGGGGAGAGAAGCAACGGAGTATTGCCTATTTTAATTCATTTTGCATCATGTAGCACCACCTCTTACTATACAACATTGTGGTTAGTTGTACTGGTTATCTCTGCAAAGCCATGACCACAAACTCAGTTCTCCCTTTTCTTGTTTTCGCATTAGCAATATTATCATTACCCCCCAAAGTTGTTTAACAAACTTCCATCTAAGAAAGATGATATCTGGTCATTACCTTCTTCAGTATTATCTTGGAGCCCACAAAAGCAGACTTCAAGTATGTTGGCTGGATCAGTGTGGTAGTAACTGATACCTTATAATTGTAGTAGTAATAGTGATGTTTTTTCTTTCTGGGACCAGGGGCCATTTTTTCCCACAAGAACAGGTCCACCTTAACTTTGCCTTCTCCATCAACTCCAATGCATTTTGCAAATACGGCAAATATTGCCAAAATCTCCTGTTTTTGGCTGAAGTTTTAGGGAAATAAATGCTCTCAATTTCCCTAATCCCGAGTATTGCCTTGTACCATCTACAGTGAATAAGAGTACTACCACGTGATACATATCCTTTATTATAGGAAATTGAAACATTGTTCTATATTAATGTATATTTAAATAAACAAAACTTCATACAGACAGTTAAATACATATTTCAATTGTTTCACCTGCCAATGGGCTTGCCATTGTATTTGTTTAGCCTGCCCTGTGGTTCACACACATCTGCCAAACTGCACAGCCAGGATGGTAATAACCCTGTTTCCAGGCTTACTTTTGAAGCTGCCCGTGTTGCCCTACTGCCTTCGGTTTGCTTACTAGACAATTGAATAGCACCATCACACTGCTGTTTACTTGTCCAGTGACCAGGATGGTGTCCAAGGAAGTTGTAAAGAGGAACCAAGTCATAAATATGCCATCTACATTTCTGTACAGGTGTGTGAATTACAAAATTAGCCAAACAAAATTAGACAGGTGCAGCATTTTACATATTTGTATTTCAGTTGTATACTTAGTTTTTTGTTGGCTGTCCAAACCACTTCAAGAAAGCTGCTAAGAGACCTTACCTTGACAATAATGGCCAAACAGACTTGAAGGCAACTTGAACTTCTGTGTGGCCTGCACTGTAGTATTTTGCTCACCCACCACCTTCAGTGGATACAAATCATAGGCTTAGCAAAGACATCTCCCTGCCCACCCACTACTTTCACAGGAGCCACCTCTTAGACACAGCCTTAAATATGATAGTCTAAGCCTAAAAGGCATCTCCACCAAAAGTGGTGGGTGGTCAGGGAGATGATCAAAATCTAAGAGGGTTCCCCGCTAAAGGTAGTGGGTGGTCAGGAATACACATCTAAGGCAGCCTAAGAAGCATCTCGCCTTAAGGTGGTGAGTATCACAGAGAAGTTGACCCAGAGTAGAATGTGGTGGTTATCAGCAGGTTTATCAGATAACACTGGAACTCCTTACATTCACTCCTGGCTATCAACATATCCATTTTTATTATATATTGTTATATATCTAAAATAAAAAAAGATTTACTGATAAATAACTGTAGTGTACCCATGGATGAAGACATGAATGCTAATGTTAATTCCTTTTCTGGTTGTTGTTTTATCTACTAACATTGGTGTACAAATTGTGTTGTACCTAAATTCACCAGAACTGTTGTTTTGATTCAGGTGCATTATAACCACGGGCTGGTCCTTTTGGATAATGCAAATAAATTCAACGGGTCACTGTTTCCAGAGATGGAGTCATTTAAGGCTACAAGAGGAGGCTTCCAGACCAAACTAAGCAGTTTCTACATGAATGTGGAGAGACAGAAGGAGGAGCTGGATAAACTTCTCAGTCTCTACAGGTTTTGTGATAAGGTACAAGATGCAATTGCAATAAATATATTGGCATATAAGATCGGTAAAGTCACACCAGTTATGAGATAGTATAATAAATGCAAATGATCAGGGACATTTTAAAGTGTATCTAAAGCCAAAACTTTTTCTTTAGTATTGGCTGGAGAGTAGAATTCTTAAAACCTCTGTCAGGTTTTCATTGATAGGAGAAATAAAGTGCTTACTGACATATTGCAGTGCCCACGTGTATATATTTGAGGAGAAACAAAAGCGATTCAAGAGCTCTACTCCATTAGGAAGGACAGTGCCTGTGTCCAAAAGAATGTGCTATACCCCAGCAAGATTTATACAGTTTGAATGTTTATTGAAGGTTCCAGGAGAGCCAACACACTCTCCACTGGGGCTATATACCCCTTCTGTTTGCCCTGGTGACCATTACCACCAGGAAAGAAAGTGACTGGAAATCACAAATTTTACAGATATCACTAAAATAGAAATACATTTATAATCTTCCAGTGGGGAACCTTCTCTGGTGATAGCTGTCTAATAGTGGATTTCCTCTCACTTTGGAAAGATTTCCTCATGCTCTATCTTGTGTCCCTGGAGCAGGAAGTGAAGAGAAATATCCCCAACAGACGACTGACATCAGAAAAGAGACCCCTATTTCATGTTTGTAATTCTAAACTTAGACATTGACTAAAAAATGCTTTAACCATACCATGCTCTAAATATTTCTAAACCCTGACTGTGCCCAATGTATAATGTGCAAATATCAAGGATGTCACCAGCACACCAATTAAAGTGATCAGCAAAAGTCCCTTTTAATGCAAAATTGCCATTCAATTGCGAGCGCTTTTGGGGTCTCAGAGGGTCCCCGTCATCAGGCTCAGAATACTCCTATCAATGAAAACCTGACAGAGGTCGCTTGCAATTGAATGGCAATTTTGCATTAAAATGGACTTTTGCTGATCACTTTAATTGGTGTGCTGGTGAAATCCTTGATATTTGTATATTGTTCTCGGCACCATACGTGGTCACTACAAGCACCCACCTGTATACACAGGATATTCATGGATCTGCTAAGGAGTGCGGCAGGATACAACCTTTCAATGTATAATATGGATTCACATAAAAGTACTACATTTATACTAAAAGCATAACACATTATTTTTCTAGGACACAAATGCTACACACCACTATTTAAAATTTGGGTGCACTCATTTTATAAGTACCAGGGGCACTTTTGTATCCTAAACTTCTAAAAGGCTCACCATTTATTTCATGGACCTAATTGTTGTCTCAGAATTTGTTTTCCATTGCTTGTTCTGTATGTAGTACTAAGTATATGGTTGCTTGTGATTTCCACTAGATCACACAGCTCACTGTGAGTTGCAGCCGGTATGTGGGCCAACTGAAGGTGACCGAACAAAGACTGTGCCAACCAGAGACCCAGCAGTGCCTTGAGACCTACTTGCAACGACTGACAGCAGAACTGTCAGATGACAAATTCCAGGAAATGAAAGAGGAAGCCTACAAACTCAGCAGTTGTCGAGGGTTGGCAGTGTGGAATGAGACCTGGCTCAGATGTCAAGAGGCAAAGCAACTCGTGGAAGAAACTCTGGAGAAGTGTAGGGATGAACAGGCTGCAATGGCCTTAGGCTGGCATAAAGATACCACCTTGGCCTCTGGTGTTAGTAGTCAAGGGGATGACACTGTGGTGAGTTTTTCAAGTGATGTTGCGCAAGGGAATCGAAAGGAGGCAGAAGAATTTAGGCCTCGGGGCGGCATGCGATCTGCAGAGTCAACAATTATAAACTGTTGTAGTTTCGGTCTTCATGGTGGCTCCATGGGGCTCTTTCTGAAGGCATCCAGGGGCCATAGGAATGGAAGGACAGCCAGAGAGACTGTAACCTCTCAGGGATGCTCCACCATTGATGAATCTAAGAACAGCAGTGGATCAGACCCGGAGAACACTGAGCTGATGGTACAGAACTCAAACAATGAAGCTCTGGAGATCTTACATACTCCCAGCCCCAAACTTTCTAGGTCTGTCCCAGTTCAAAGTCCTCCTTCCACAGGTACAGATCCCTTTCCATGGATGTACTACAGAAGAACAAGCAGTGATGACTCAAGTAGCCTCTCTAGGGGTGAGAGTGGCAAAGGAGCGAAGCAGTCGGGAAGGCGATGTCATCTTTCTAGGCACGCCAGCTTCTCCACAGGGGATTCAGCCTCTCAGTACTCCACAGAAAGTTCTTCAGCAGTCACTCCTCTGTTAGCAATGGAGCCACTTAATCCACGCCTTCCTTGGATGAGAAGAGCTCTAAATGAATCATCTCGAGACAGTGACTGGACAGCAAAGTTCAACTTTGCGTAAGTCAGAATTTATGTATATTAGTCAATGTTTCCAAACTCCGGACAGGCATGGTCAGAACAGCAGTGCAAAAATCTAGGGATTCTGTTCAAAGCGCAGTTAAAGTATAGCTAAGGCCAAATGTTTTTCTTAAGTTTTGGACATTGTGGGGAAAAAAATAAAAAAAACTGTCATGTTTTTATGCTCGCCCATTGGGGAAATTTTCCTTCACTTCCTGTCTACCAGACACAACAGACAGTAAGATGAAATCTCCCCAAAGTGAGTTAAAACCTCTTGATAGACAGTTGTTGCCAAAACAGGTGCCCCCATTGGAAGGTTTCTCCTCCACTCCTGTTCAGGTGAAAACTGTAAAAGTTGGATTTCCTATTACTTTCTGCGCTGGTGATAATGGTCATTCATAGGGTTAATTCACCCCAGCAAAGACACAGGTTGCAATAAAAGGGCAGGTATGAATAAAACTAAATAAAAAATGATTCAATTAGGGCAGGAGTTTTCTTGTTAGGGCAAAGGGGAAACCTCTTGTTAGAAAGTTGTTGCCAAAACAGGTGCCCCCTTTGGAAGGTTTCTCCTCTACTCCATCAACCCACTGATCCTGACCTTCGACACACTCCCCCACTGCTCTGTTCCTCTGTCAAAGCACTGGGTCTAATACCTGTTTAGGCTTTGTGATGGTTGCTTACACAGGGATAATGACCCTCTCCCCCATATTACTGTGTTTGATGCTGGTAATTGGTCACTTAAACCTGAGCCCTGCATCCTGGCAGTAAGGGGAAAAGGTCATATGCTCTACCATACCCAGAGGTACCAGGTATTTCCCTGACAGACAAATAGAGCAATGGGGAAGGGGGTAGGTCATAGGGAAGTTAAATTGCACCTGTGTCCAGACTATAGACAATAAACTATTTACATATTCTAACAACCAGTAAAAAAGACTTAAAAACAGCCCTAATCCACCTCTCTAGATGCTTATAATGAGAAGTAATTAATTCTCAAAGACTCTATAGTGGAGTATCAGTGGGTTCTAACAGCTTAGAAACACCTGCTGTGTGTTTGCACTAGAGCAGGGGTAGCCAAACTCTGGCCCTCCAGCTGTGGTGGAACTACAAATCCCATGAGGCATTGCCAGATTCTCACAGCCACAGACATGATTCCCGGAGAGAGAGATGCATCATGGGATTTGTAGTTTTACCACAGCTAGAGGGCTGGAGTTTAGCTACCCCTGCACTAGAGGGCTGGCAGGCTACCAAGACCTGCTCTGATAGAAAATAAGCTGAGATTTTTGTGCCTTTGTTGTGAATTAAAAAAAAATATTTCTCCACAATGCCTATAGCTTACAAAGGGCTTGTTGTTACATGTTTTACTGCTGTTTCAGAATATATAAATACTTGGTGTGCATAGTCCAGCAACAGGCTCATTTTAAATATCAATGAAGGATGCCCCAGTTATATCATTTCTTTAAAGAAAAGTATATAAAGGGACCTGCCATATTTCTATCACCACAGTTCTTTTTATACTGCCTGTCTCTGGTTACTGTGTCTCCTTTATCCCAGTAAAATGTGTTTTTTCATATTTTAATGCCTTCCTAGTAAACTCCACAGGATAATGGAAGAGCTGCTTGCCACTGAACGAGATTACGTGTGTTCCCTGGGGTACGTCCTTTCTCACTACCTGTGTGAGATGGATCAGCCAGACCTCCCACCAGCCCTACGGGGTCAGCACGCTGCCATCTTTGGAAACTTGGAAAAAATCTATGAGTTCCACAGTCATGTATTCCTTCAGGAGCTTACCAGCTGCAGAAGAGACCCCAGTAATGTGGGGCGCTGCTTCCTCAAACATGTGAGTATGCTGTTATCTCCCTGAGCCCCATACTGTATATGCACATGATTTAGAGGGGATGTCCGCTTTTTAACTCCTGTGTGCTGCACCAATTTACTGTGTCTATATCCATTCTTTCCAACTACCTTCATAAAGCTATTAATAGCATATTTGTCAATGGGGTTGGAAAAAGATTTGTTTGTTTCCCATTACATCCAGACTGAATTTCATTCTTCAAAACCTTAATTAAATGGGCTGGGGTAAGCAACCTCAGCACTCCAGCTGTTGTGGAACATCCCATGAGGCATTACAAGACTCTGACAGCCACAGGCATGGCTCCCATTAACAGAGGCATTAAGGATTTTGTAGTTTCACCACAGGTGGAGTGCTAAGGTTGCCTACCCTTGCTATATTGAGTGAAAATCAACAGTGTTGCTTTTTCCCCTCCTTCTGTATGTAATATATGGTAACCTTATGCATTTTGTTATAGAAAGAGCAGTTTGGATTGTACGCATTCTACAGCAAGAACAAGCCTCAATGCGACCGCCTTCTACAAGAGCACGGGGCTGTGTTTTTTAAGGTATGACCAGAAAAAATAACCGGGTATCAGGGAGGGTGGTAATGTTCTTTTTAGGGATGCACCGATACCAGTTTTTCGCTATCGAGTACAAGTACCAATATTTTTTTTTCAGGTACTCACCGATACCGAATACCGATACCGGAAATCCAATTTAGGAAGCCGGCCGGCTTGTAATGACTCACCACCCGGCTTCACCAGGTGACGAGGAAGCATGGAGCTGGCTTTCTGGCCAATCAGGAAGCCGGGGGGCGAGTAATAACTCGCCGCCTGGCTTCCTGATACCGGAAGTTCAGGTAATGGGACAAGTATCGGGAGTATCGGGAGCATTTGGACGAGTACGAGTAAGGCAAAACTCCACATTGCAGGGGGTAAGTGCTCATTTTCGTCTAGGGACTAAAATAAAAAAGTTGTACTGATCCTCTGAGCCAGCTTGCTCTTACACTGGTCCTTCCAGCACCTCTGCCCCTCTACTTCAGCAATTTACGGATCCTCAAGTCATCACGTCCAATACACCATGTATTGCACTTGAGGACGTTGAGGAACATACCATCACTGCAGTGTAGGAGAAATGAGGGTGGAGGGAACATTGTGACAGCCATCTAGCTCAAGATTCGGGTGCGTATAACTTTTTTTATTTTAGTCCCTAAACGAAAACGAGCAGTTAACCCTTGCAGTGCAGGGGTAGCCCCACTGCAAGGGTTGATAACAGTTTTGGCGGACCAGGATATATTGCTAACTGTAGGGCGGTACAGAACCTGGCTATGCAGTCTGTCAGGGGGACCGGGCCTTAACACTGACTGAACAGAATCAAAAACAGTTCACCCCAAAATTATTTTGCATGGATCATGGATGTCAGTGAATCCGTTTTGTACAATGTGTTAATATATATCGTGGTCATTGTATGTGTTCACAGAGAAAGCAGCAGGAACTGGCTGACAAGATGGATCTCTCCTCCTACCTGCTAAAACCTATCCAGCGCATCAGCAAGTACAGCCTGCTCCTGCAGGACATGGAGTGGGAGTGCAAAGGACAGAGCACACGGGAGAGCGAAATGAGGGCTGCACGGGAGGTCGTGCGGTTCCAACTGCGACACGGAAACGATCTACTCGCCATGGACGACATTCAGGACTGTGATGTAAGAGAAGGAAAAACAAAAATTATCATCTTTGTGTTGGGTTTTCAGAGACACTTCCGTCAGGTTATAGAAATACTAGGGAGGGAGTGGGCTGTGCTAGGTAATTGACTCTCTTCTTGCTGTGGTCAAATTTCCCAGCATGTTCAAAGGCACATTGCAAGTTATTAAATAAATCATTTATGAAACGAAAAAAACTCTGCAAAGAAGCATTTAAGATACTTGATTTTTCTGTGCGGTTTTTTTTAAGTCTGTGGGAGGATCTCTTTAACTAAACCCATTGGTTTAGTGGTTCATTTACATCTTGGAGTAAGGATCTGCTCCTTACATTCCCTTGAAATATGGAAGCAGATGGGTGATAGACAGATTTTAAATTCCCAGTGAAATGTAGCGAGGAAGATATAATATCAGCAGCGTCAAAGCATTTATGGCTATTAGAGGTAAAGTGGATTACCAGTGCGCGAGAGGGGACATCGGGGATAGCGAGACATATTGAGCAGTGCGAGTAACTGCTCGGAACGCAGCAGAGGGAGACAAGAGGAGGAGTGAGATTAATCACATACACGCAGCAATGGACTGGGGCACAGCGGAGATATCACAGGGGGACAGAGACAGAGTGCAGGATTATCGAGAAGCTGCTGGAGAAGAGCATCATTTACAATATGGGCAAATCCCAGCCGGGCAGAGCGGAACGAAGGTCAACAGGGGGTAACCAGGCTAGTGATGTTAGTACAAACAGCTCTGAGATTATGTTGTCCCTCGACAAGCATAGCCACATGCTGCAAGAACAGGACACCTGTCCTGGATGTATTCCCTGTCACTGTGTTCATGTCACCTGTCATTGAATCCCAACATCAGCATCAATAGATGGAGGGTGAAGTGACCTTCATGCGCCGAACATACCGCCAGATCTGCCCTGTGCCCTGCGAAATGATAGCCCAGTGCAGATTTCTGGTTCGTGAATGTATTAACATTTTAAAAACCTGGAATTCTGAGCAAACAGCTGAATATACATATGACCTGTCTCATTTGCCGGAAGAACTGTCATTGTGTTTAGTCTTGTAATTTAAAAAGCAATGCCATGTCCTGGACCTTCACTGCAGTGAAGAAGTGCATTTTGATCCAGGGCACTCCCAGGGGCGTCACAGGGGGTGTGCGGCCCACACCGGGTGACGCCATCAGAGGGGGTGACACCAAAATAACTGACAGTCATTTTGGCGTCACCCCCTCTTAAAAGTTGGGCACTTGGTCAGTGGCACAAGGGAGATGTGTGGACCGGGCTGCATACTTGATCCCACGGGGTCAACTCCTCTCACACCGTGGGCGTCATAACGCATGCGCGGTGGCCACACTTGGTGACATCAAATTCAAAAACGTCATTCTGAGCCTGATGAAGGGGGCACTGTCAGGCCCCAAAAGCGCTTGCATGTGGATGACAATTGTGTGTCATTAAATGGACTGATTTCACACTACATTGGTGTGCTGGTGACGTTTCTGAATTTGATGTTACTTCACGGTGCCATCCGTGGCCATTACAAGCAACCACCTGGATTATACTGGTTACAACTGCAAACCGATAAGGAGTGCAGCAAGATACATCTGTATATCACACTGGGTGACACACACGCTGGTGCCACCATTGGCCACGCACCCAAAATTGCTGATTGGACAATGAAGGGACAACGGTTCACCATTGCACCCACTCTGCTTTCTCCACCTGTAAGCATGCTTACAGTGTTAAATAGTAAAAAAACTATTAGTAAAGCACTGATAGTAAAAAAAACACAGCGCTAAATTAAATAAATTAACTAATAATTAAGTTATTATTATTAATTAAATAACTATTATTATTTAATTATTATTAACTAATAAATAATACAATAGCACATTAATGTAAACCCCAAACAATAAAAAAATTACACAATGATTGTGGAAGAAGATAAGAAATTAAGCAGTACAATCCACTTTAGTTCACAATAATGGTGATGCCATCTCTTTTTTATTGTATCAAAAAGACTGATGGCTGTCGGATTTTGAAGATCGGTTCAAACAAATACTGTATATATAATAAATATATGTAATAAAAATAGCCAACATTTCGGGGGCATGCATTGTCCTTTCTGTCGCTGTGTCGCCTTGAGGAAGGGACCCTGCGCGCCCCTGAAACGTTGGCTATTGTAACGTTATTTGCAATAAACTATTTTTAATTTGCAGTTTGGAGTGCTGGTGACCCCTCTGCACATCTCTGAGGTCCTGCACGGTGCCATTCATGGTGGTCACTACGAGCAGCTTTCTTATCTACATCAGTCACAATGCTGTATGGTGTGCAGCAGACACTTTCAACAATTAAATGGCTGCTGGACACTGCCATCTTGTTTCACTTGGTATCCAGCAAACAGCAAGCTGTCACTGTTGAGACGCGTCTTCAAATTCCTGCTCAGTGCCTCAGTCCTGAGCTGAGCCTTCATGCGGCTGTGCTTGGAGCCGCTATAGAACAAGACTATGTAGAAGGAGGGAGAGGAAGCAGCAAACAGTGAACCTTAAGATCTGACACTCCAGGAAGTGTCAGATCCCATTGCAATTTTACAAGGAACAGTCCACCGTTTCAAAGCAGCATGCATGTATATCTGAAATCTACGGTATTGGATGGTGATTTAAAATTAGAATGTGCGCTCCGGCGTATTGTGACAGGGTCTCTTTAAGGAATACATGTCTGCATTGGTTTTTATGCCCACATGGAGTTCAGCTTTATTAAGCCGTAGAGCTTTACAGCTAATTAGCAGAGTATAGCTTGAGGCAAGCAATTATGCTGAACCCAGAGCCTCTAATTAATGGATTTCTGTAAAACATCAAACATATAAGGCACCAGTACACAAATAATGATCAATACAGATGAAAAAGGAAAAAACAAAGTATACCAAATGAAATAAACTAAATACACTCAAAAAACACACTTTCTAAATCAGGAGTGGGCAACTCCGTCTCTGCAGCTGTTGTGGAACTACAAGTCCCAGGAGGCATTGCTAGACTGACAGTTACAGCCATGACTCTCGGAAGCATGTTGCCCGCCCCCTGGGCTAAATAAAGAATCCAAAAATTTAGTTTTTTTCTTTTTCAGACAAATGTCATCTAATCAGCTCAATAAACCAAATCACACCGTTTCCTAAACTCTCAGAAAATGCTAGATTCCCAGCTGTCATTCTGATCCTATGGCTTCAATACTTTGAATCACTAACCCAGAGCAAGTAAAACTGGCCACTCACGGTAGAATTGCATTCCAAAAATCTCCTTTTCAGAAGATTCATTTGATTTTCTAATGGAGTCAAATCGCCGTTTTCAACCGAAGTGATGAACATTTTCTCGAATGAATGAATGAATTTCAAGCAGTGAATGTGGTTTTCATTCAGAAAACTCCATTCATTCTAAAATGTAATGTTAGGCTCCATTCACATATAGTGTTTGCGTTTACCTTGCGGTTTTCAGTGCCGAAGACCGCACGGGACGAAACAACTGCACCGATTCCGCTCCTTTGCAGCCAATATATAACCGCGAACGTGCGGAATCCACCATATTATCTCCCTTGCACTATTTTGGGGGCCGCGCGTTGAAGTGCATTGTTTTTTCTCTTTAGAGCGGTTCCGCACATATTCGTACAGCTGAATGCGCGCGGACAGCCGCCCCATTGTGAATGGAGCCTTAAGATCAACAGAACTTTCGAATGACTGGTCAAGTCTCTGATGGCATTATTGAATGTCTTTTTTTGCATTGTTTGTGCGATAAACTACCAGTGTGTGGTACAGATAAGAACTTTCAGCCTCTCTCTGACTTCCCTGGTCTGCTTACTTTTTCTGGGTCAGTGACATAGATTATTATTATTATACAGGATTTATATAGCGCCGCCGCCAACAGTTCATTCATGATTGCGGTTATAGTAAACATGCTCTGTCCTCATGTTATGAATGAACAGGAACACTCAGTATCCAGGATTCCTGTTAATTAATAACTGGGGCTGCAGAAAAAAGAGATTGAGGACTCAGTGTCCTCAATCTCTTTTTCTATTTTAAAAGGGAAATTCCAGGGGTATGTTTAGACCCCCAATATTTCCTCAAAGTCCCTACAAGTAAAGTAAAAAATAAAAATATTTAAAAAAAATGAATAAATAAATAAAAATAAATTTTAAAAATTAAAACGTTTATAAAAAATAAATTATGATAAAATATTTGAAAAAAAATTAAAATAAAAAACATTTTCGGTTTCAGCCTGACATTTTTTTTAATTTTGGTTTTCAAATTTCCATTTCGGTGCACCTCTAATTACAACCACAATACAATTCAAGACAAGATGGTAAGGAGGGCCCTGCCCGTGAGGGCTTACAATCTAAAAGGTAGTGTTGAAGCCAGAGGATCAGAATAACAGCCTGTCAACTAGCATTTTAGCAAGGTGATCAGAAATAGCAGCCCTGTATTTTACTCATGACAGGTCCACTTTAATACCCATTTGTCCAGCTCAGTACCAATTAAATAGATTCTTTTATTCATCACCTGTTTTCTTACTGCAGACATGATCCTATTTCTCTGCAGAGCAGATGGAAGGCACTGACATACTTTTTTTACCTGGTTGCACTATATTTATCCCCCTGTTTAATGCCCTTGGATTATTTTTTTTGTCACGCTCGCTTCTATTTTTATAGGTTAACCTGAAGGAACAAGGCCGACTGCTACGCCAAGGGGAGTTTGCTATCTCCTACAGGAAGAGAAAGTGCCTGAGGAGGGTGTTCCTCTTTGAAGATCTGATTCTTTTCAGTAAAATGAAAAAAGCTGCCTCGGGAAGAGAAATCTATGTGTACAAACAGTCCTTCAAGGTAATCGCATTGTTTCTTGGAGATATTGATAAGAGCATTTTCTGTAAAGCTGGCCATATACGTGTAGATTTCCACAGGCTGAACGAGAGAGAAGCCTCGAAAGTTATCACTAAAGATCCCTAAATATTGATCACTATCAGTAGAAATTAGGGATGCACCAATACTTTTTGAGTACCAGTGCCGATACTTGGCATTTTCACGAGAACTACTAGGGTTGCAGAAGTTGCAGCTGGGACCTGGCTCTGGCTCTCCACCACTGTCCTGAAATCATTAGTCTGTATTGTTTTAGAAAAAAAACTAGAAAAACTAAATAGCATGGATGAAGGAATCTGCATGGTCGGTGGTTACTGCTGCCTGCGCCCGCGACTGTCTGAAATCCTGAACAGGGACTGCATTGGATGCTATCACTGATTAGTCAACAGTTTTCCTACTTAAATCGCCATTTGTTGAACCAGGTAGTGCCAGCAGGGCAACCCACATCTCAAATTGGGGCCAATTTAACAGGAATTCAAGCCGTGTATGCCTAGCCTAAAGTGGATATCCATTTTTGAACCCAAATTGGGGAAAGAGTTAGCTTAAGGGCCTGTTCACAGATCAAGCCGCTCTAAATGAGCAGTTGCTGGTGTGCAATGACAGGGGAAGGCAGGCATGTGCCCATGCCACATCGCACTGTTTACTTTTTGAAATGTGACAAGTGACACCACGCTGTGCTGCATTGCAGTGGTGTGCCAATTTAAAACAAGGCAAAGTGCCTTTTCTGTGTGTTGGGGCTGCGCTGGAAATAGTGGTCAGCGCAGCCCCAATGATTCTGATGTGAATGGGCCATAAAAGTTAGGTTAAATTTAGGGGTAAAGTGTATGTCTAGCCCAAACTGTTTTTTTTTAGAGTGGAGAGATATTAGAAGACTTGACAGATTTGTACTGCTATCCAGGGTCCTGTAACCTTACTTAGAGGCTGATTTATAAATCTCCCACCCAGTGTATAACCAATGCCGCCACTAGATGGTTCTGAGGAGCACAGGAAATTCCTATGCTCCTCTGCGCCATCTAGTGGTGGTAGCACCATGCGAATGCCATTCATCCAGCTATATGCTGGGAGAAGCATGTACAAATCAAATTCAAAGGATGTCACCAGCACACCATGCTATTTGTGTTTAGCAAACGTCGATTTTAATGACAAAAATTGCAATTCAGTTGCAAGTACTTTCGGGGCCTGGCAGGGTCCCCTTCATTAGGCTCCGAGCTGATGTGATGTTGTGATGATGAACCGAAAGTACTTGCAACTTAATAGCAATTTTTGTCATTAAAATGGACGTTTGCTAAACACCAATTGCATTTTATGCTGGTGACATCCTTTGAATTTATACACTAATCACAGCGCCAACTGTGGTCACTGCAAGCACCCACCTGTATTTATTACAGAAATCCGCTATGGTGTACTGTGCAGCAAGATACATCTAATTTTTGCATTTACAAATCAGCCCCTTACTGTCCTTTTGAGTCTCTTACTTCTTTAACAAATAAGGGGTGGCACTGAGATCAATATATGTGAATATCTGATGTATAAGATGTCTTTGTGTCTTCATTAATATATTTTCCATCTGTGACCTTTCTCAGACTTCAGAAATCGGCCTCACTCACACATTGGGAGGCAGCGGACTCTGCTTTGAAATCTGGTTTCGAAGGAGGAAATCGGAGGACACGTACACTTTTCAGGCCCCATCTGCTGATGTCAAGGAAGCTTGGACTGAGGACATACAGAAGATTCTGTGGGACCAGGCAATAAAAAACAGAGGTGAACATCACCAGCTGCTGCACATCAGTATAAATGATGATGCTCACATTATTGATCTTATTGAAATGAAGCACTTTTTCATAATGCTGAGTAGCTGTCAATTTTATTATTGCCTTCTGAAAGCTTTAATGTCACCAAGGACAATTCATTCTTTGTAAAGGCATTGTGTAGTGTCATGTCAGCTCTGTAATTTACCCTGCTATGTGTTACACCATTACCCATTGTGCATTCCTGGCTGGAAGAAGGACTACTCAGCATATTTGGCAGACTAATTGAGCATGGTGGAACATTACCAGGCATTTTGGATCAAACAAACCGTTTTTTTCTTTAAAGTGGACCTTTCACCAACTTTAAATGCCTTTAAAGAACAAGGCCGGGCAGAACAAAACGTAAGGCTACCCCTGCACTGCAAGGATTAAGTGCTCGTTTTGGTCCAGGGTCTAAAATAACAAAGATATATGCAGCCGAACCTCAGTCCTGCCTGGCTGCTAGCCCCTGCAGCCTCTTACAAGGTGATGACTCACAGGTCCTTAGACCACCGGAGCACCTAGTGTTGCCCTTGTAGTGTGTGAGAGTAAGGGGGGTGGTGGTGCAATATAAGCCTACCATGTGTTTGTTTTGGCCTGTTTGGAAGTGTCAATAAAGTTGTCAGGTGAAGGCCACTTTCATATTGCCCCTTGGGGGAATCTGCCATTGAAGTAAGCTGTCCTCAACTGAGGATACCCAGTGCCATCTTGGACATATTATATAAGGCACATTCTGAGTCATAAGGGGGCCCTCTAGTGGGGAGTATAGTTAAGAACAGGACTCTGTCTGGTCAGGGAGATCCATGACCCTACATTGGGAACGTGCTAGGAAAGGACGCTTGGGACCCTGGAAGAGAGTGACGCCTTAAGGGGTCCTTTTTGATAGGAACCTGTGCATAGTCACCTACGCTGTAGTCACCTACCTTGTAAAATTGTTTCAATATTTAGAAGAAAACAATTGGGAGCTTAATGGGGCGTCCTTTCCATCCTTTGGTTGTAAGAGAACCATGGTTTCCCTGAAAGCCTGTAACTACTTAGAAATTGTTTCTCTTGTTGAATAACCTGTTGAAATGTTACTTAAATCAAGTCCCGGAGGAAGGAACTAAACTACTAAGATAAAGATTAATATTTCTTTGTTAGTCCATTACTTCTTTTTGGATAAAGGTTACTGGAACTGTTGTGAAGTGTAACATTGATTTTCTGGTGCCTACGTGCTACATGCATGCTCATAGCATGAAAAAAAATATGTGCTAGGTTCCCTGATATGCTTCAGTAAGCTAAAATCGGATTACTATGGGTTACTGTGGTGTGCATATGATCATTGTTCTTTGTAGAGATCTTTACCATACTAGAATGATGTATCTACAAGCCTAATCTGAGAACCTTCATCTACCTTTGTTACTAGCTTTTGTAAGAAGCAGATTGCCTTTGGAGTACAGATATTAACATATTATCACTTTCATCACAAATGGCTTTCATAGTCCTTTAAACATAACCTGTCAAAATTGTGCAAATTTAAACTGAGCATATAATGGAAAAAAATGCATAGGCAGTAGATATAAAAGCTTTTTCTGTAATTGGCAAAATAGGCCTCACCCCTTATTTGCCTTCTTATTGGTCAGTGAAGCGGCCCATTACATTAAAGGACCATCAGGGGGGTTTAAAAGGCAGGTATGGGTTGGGCAAACAGCTGGCTCTGCCTCTGGATATATAGAGCCAGCTGTTAATGCCGCAGCTGGGTAGATCTCGACAGTAATGTCGGGATCCGTCCCAGCTGCGGCGTCTCAGTATACCGCGAGCTATAGCTCGTGGTATACTGAGCTTAGGGTGACAGGAGGACGCTAGTTTGTGTCCTCCCGTTACCCTTGGGAGAACTATGGGGAAAAGCCCTTTATTGTATAGCCTCCCAGTTTGTTCTGCTTTATTCTAACTTCTTGCATTATTGTACTGCAGAGATGCGCAGGCAGGAGCGAGTTTTCTCAGGTCTGGGATGTAAACCTTTCACGGATATCCAGCCGAGTGAAGCAGCCATCAGTAGCAGAGCCATTCCTCTGACTGGAGCTGCAGGTAATGTATTTTTGAGTAGAAAGATTTTCGACAATTTGTGAGTTCTGTTCCGTGTTTAAATTGCTGGTATAACATTGAAGTGTCTTAGGAGGTGATTCCCAGCGCAGCTCAATTTGATGTTGGCTAAGGGGAAAACAGGAGTTTCTGGCACCACAATTCTGGTGCTGGGATCTTTTGGCACAGGGCTGTGAAGTGAAGAATCCTGACGAAAGAGTGAGTGTTTAAATAGGTGTTAAAGTCCAGAAGGGTTAGTGTAAGGGTTACACTGAGGCTTAATGTTAGAGTTACAAGCAGGGTTAGTGTTAGGGTTACAGAGAAGATTAGTGTTAGAGTTACATGAAAGATTAGTATTAGGGTTACCGAGAAGATTAATGGTAGGGCTACAAGGACTGTAAGTGTGAGGGTTACAGGAAGATTTAGTGATAGAGTTACAAGTAGTGTTAGTGTTACAGCGAGGATTTGTGTTAGGGTTACAGGAATAGTGTTAGGGCTACAGGTATGGTATCAGGGTTACAGGAAGGCTTAGTGTAAGAGTTGCAAAGAGGGTTAATGGTAGGGTTACAGAGATGATTAGTGTTAGAGTTAAAAGGAGGATTAGTATTAGGGTTACAGAGAAAATTAATGTTAGTGCTACATGGAAGGTAAGTGTAAGTGTGAGGGTTACAGGAAGACTTAGAGTTACAAGTAGTGTTAATGCTATGGTTACAGAGAGGATTTGTGTGAGGGTTACAGGAATAGTGTTAGGGCTACAGGGATGGTATCATGGTTACAGGAGGGCTTAGTGTAATAGTTGCAAAGAGGGTTAGTATTAGGGTTACAGAGAGGATTAGTGGATTACAGGAATAGTTTTATGGCTACAGGGATGGAATGACAGTTACAGGAAGGCTTAGTCTAATAGTTGCAAAGAGGGTTAATGTTAGGGTTACAGAATAGATTAGTGGATTACAGGAATACTTTTAGGGCTAGTGTAAGAGTTGCAAAGAGGGTTAGTGTTAGGTATCAAGAAGAGCCCCTGCAAATAAGGTCATTAATAGACATGTGCAATTTGTTTCGGTCTGATTTAACCCCTTCATGACTGAGGCCTTTTTTTTTCTTTTTTAATTATTGGCGGCTATTGGCAATAGCCGCCGGGAGTCTGTTTAAACAGCCCCGATGCTGGCGACGTACACTGTACGTCGTCAGTCACGAAGGGGTTAAAATATGGACAAAATTTCGGAGATTCGAATGTATCCGAATTACAGATATAACAAATGCAAACGAATCCGAATTTTCCGAATTCCGAAATTCGTTAGCGGTCGTCTGTACGAAATTTCATTTGCTGGACGGCATTTAGTTGCAGCAAAGTGACATTTGAGAAAAAAAATGTCCCCCTCATATGTTACTTTGCTGTCACGAACTAAACGTCAACGAAACGAAATTCCGTACAGACTAGCGCTAACGAATTTCGCCCGAATCCCGAAACGAATTGACTTTTGGACACGAATCCCGAAAAACTAAATAACGCAAAATCTGCAACAAAACGAAACAAATTTTTTGCCGGTGCACATGTCCAGTAGGTAATGCCCCAGCAATTAATACTTAACCTGCCGCAGAAAGTTGTTGAAAGATCTTTAGCATCCAGCATTCTTTTGGGTGGGGATCCTTCCACCAACCCTTACATCACTACTGTGCTCTGCAATTATGTTTGCTGGAGGGTATTTTAGATTTTTCCAGTCCAAACGCCAGAAGCTCAATGGCATGGAAAGTTCTTATAAAGAAACCAGGTTATCTCTGTTCTTCAAGGGAAGGGTCTCCCATCACTTTATTATTGGTGGTGGAACATTAAGTAAGAGTTGACATTTCAGGGAAAAACCTTCCTCTTTGTTTAATTTCTTTCTGAAGATATTTCTCTTGTCTGACTACATGTCCAACCACCTTTAATATGATTGGAAAGGGAAATCGCCTTGAAACATAAAGATGTAATGGTGACTTATTTCTTTACAAGTTTACTAATGACCATGTTTGCGATTCTAGGTGGACTTTAGTAAGAGAAAATGTGTTAGTGAACCCCATGAAAATTGTGAAGTATTAATCTTTTCCACCTTGCTTTTCCAGATGAAAATCTCCACTCCTCCCCAGCCATCGCTTTACCATTCCCCACATCACCTCCTCCACTCCGCTCCATGTCAGTGGGCTCCCGAAGCAGCGCCAGCAGTGCCGTTTCTCTGGGTGGATGTTCCTCCACCTCTTCCGGTCGCGGTTCTCTCAGCCCCCAGCATGGTTGTCCTGGATCAGACATGCCCTGGAGATGCTGTAGGACAGAACCCCTCCATGAAAAGGAGGCCAACGTCTTCTTAAGTGAGTAAAGTGAAGATCATTGATTTCAAAAGGATGTGCTATTTTAAACTATATTTCATCAATGTGTAAATTCAGAAATCCTCGAATGTCTATTTTAGAGCTCAGCTTTCTATAGAAACGTTTCATCTGTCTCTGCTTTGAGTCAAGACAATGTACTACTGTTCAGTCTCTTTACTTTTCTCTTAGACCTCTCTTTATGAGGTCTTTTAAATTAAGAGCACATGGGCGATCTTCAGTACAGGGCCGTCTTTAACGCAGGGCAAAAGGGCCCAGTCATTGTTGTGGGGCCCAAAGCAGCTGCCCCTTGAGCAGGTTCTGTTCTGCAAAACTCCTACCACTGACCCTGTATCTCAGCACTGACAGCAGAGCACTGGATGATCGCAGGGCAGAGCGGGTGACACGGAGAGAAGAGCTGGGTGGATGCCCTCCGTGCTGTGTGTATGTGTGTGCTGGAGGAGGCTGTGCTATCACCTGTAGGGGGTGAAAAATTCACCTTCACTTGTGTACACAAAAATCTTTGCACCGGCCCTGCCCTTGTGCCCGCAAAAGATGCACCCGTGCCACTCTTCTGTTTAATGTGAGATCGATATTGCATAGTGTTGCTCCTGCCCTGTCGTATAGGCATATGCATGGCCAAAATTGCATGGCGGGGGTGGGTAGGGGGTGTTTTGTGGGGGGACCAAGAAAATGTTTGCCCAGGGTCCAATCAGTATTAAAGATGGCCCTGCTTCAGTAACTCAATCACACTGCTTAAGCCGATAGCAATTAACCTCTTGCCGTCCGCCCGTTAAGAAAAAACGGACGGACGGCAGACTCGCATAAACAACTCTTGGGAAAACATTTTTTTGAATGTCCCCCAGGAGAAATAAAAACAAAAAAGTAGCTTAGGCTTCAATACTCATCTCCTCTTTTGCGCCATCACCCACTCTTTTGCTCCACAAGATG